CGCATTTTACAACATTTCGCAACCAAACTTTGCAATATCACTCATTTTAGTATGTTCTTTCCGGGAATGCAATTTTTTGGCCAAGATAAAAAAATTAGTCCATAATGGGAATTGTCTATATTAGCCTACCATGTATTTGCATGAGTTATCTTTAGTCCACTTACCCCATCATCTGTTTCAATTTTCCTTCTTTTCTTTACTTTTCGTGGCATTTTCTTCTGGACAAGCTCTAGTGATTCCTCATCACCGGACGTTGTCTGTAGAAAAAAATTTTAACCTTAATTTAATAATACACAAGAGGATACTGTAATCCACCCGGCTTGGTTTTCGACTAACTTTTGCATATTTTGCATCAAAATACTCCACGCCTTTGGAAAGTGGCAAAAAACAGCTCAAAACAATAATTTTCAACTGATAAGAAATTGCATAGGCGTATGGGACGGGGGGGGGGGGCACGTGCCCCGTTACGGTCGGGCAAAAATCAATGCGAAATTCGGGCAAGACATCTCCCCCCTATCGTCTTCGATTTATTTTCCAAAGGTTCATATTTTATCTCAAACTACTCCAAATGTTCGGTAAGTGGCGAAAAACGTCGTCTTTCATCAAAACAATGATTTTAAAGTGCGACTAACCCCAAATATAATTTTTGGTATGTGTAATATCTAAGAAGACATGTAATGCATCTTTATAGTAAAAAACCTCGTCTTAATCAACTTTTTCACTGTCAAAGTTTCCGGATATGATGTCATTAGGTAAATTTTTGGTACAAAAAACAAAGGAAAACTAATTTGCAATTCACCTAATGACATCATATCCGGAACCTTTGACAGTGAAAAATTTGATCAAGATGGGATTTTTTGTTTTAAAGATAATATTACATTTCCTCCTCGAATGACCTAAATACACTTAAAAAACTCAATAATTCAGGAGCAAAACACAAAGAAAAATCATAAGCGTGTCGTGTCACATATAAAAATATGTGATAAAAAATCATGTTAATTTACATAAACTTTAGCTTTGATTTTCTCGGTTTAGACAAAGTTTATTTTAAAAATTACTTCGCCAATGAACTCGTATAAGATGAGTCGTTTTTTAAGCCATTTAAAGCACGCGTAGGAGTGATAAAACACTCCTACGCGTGCTTTAAATAGCACATACTGTACAAAAGATGATATTTGGGGTTATTCGCACTTTAAGTAATATAACCAAGGTTTGAAAATCTTAAAGGGGGATGAGAGGCATATTGTCAAAATAAGAGAAAGCATGAAAAAGATATATATCACTTGCTTCAAACTGCTTCCATGATTCCAATAACATGAGTCTTTCTTCCTTATCTTCAGCGGTTTTTAGCTCACGGTTAGCACGTTCGTACACATTCCTGCAACATGAGTAGAAAATGATGAAATGAAGCCATTCCATTGAACAAAGATGCTACTAGCCTAACTTATAATGTGATTTGGATGTAGAGTTTTGACAGCCAAACCACTAAGTTCATTTTCAAAGACCAACTGCATTCGTACTTTACCACTAAGACAAGGACAACATTGCTATGGAGGTCAAGGCCAAGTTCTTATGAATTGAGAGTAATTGTTTTGACGAAAGAAAATGTTTTTACCCTATTGTCCAATAGGGTAAAAAAAAGTTAAAAAAGGGGGCCACAGGATTTTTTGGGAAAAAATTCAAATAATGCCCCAACCTACTCGAAATTTTCTGAAAATTGTTGAAAAACATTTCTTTCATCAAAACAATTAGCCATTTCCCAATCGAGCAGAGGACTGGGTCTAGTCGCTTGTTTGGAAGGACAAAAATAAACAATATGCCGAATATGGCATCTAGGAAGTTTTCCTACATTCCTAAAGTTACAGTATTTGTGCAGCCTGAAACGCAACAATTATAATAATGCATCTTTTAATATATATTTAGCTCGCTCACTATAACTTCTTGTCCCTCCAACCATCAACTAGACCCAGTCCTTTGCTAGATTGAGAAATGGCTAATTAGTTTCCACTGATAAAAATATGTGTAGAAAATTTTTGGTCAATTGCAAAGGGCGGACCACAGGCAATCCTAGGGCCAAAGGGGGGCAATCTTAAATTTGCAATGTTTCAATCAATATTGTCAAACAAAAAGTACAGTACCTGGTTTGGGAAATACGATCATCCAAGTCTGTTGTCAATTCAAATTGAGCATAACTGATCCATACCTATGAAAAAAACAAAAAGAATATTCATGAGAGGTCTAGTTACAGTAGATCAATTATACTAGATAGTTCTATCAGTTATTAGATACAGTAGAGTCTAAGAGCTATCTCTTGCTGTTCCAGTGTTACTACTAATACTACAAGAGCACACCTAACCTACTTTATCAGTTACTGTAGTATCTCCCTAGAAGTTAAGTAAGACAACTCCTTAGTGGGCCAGTGTTACTGTAGGAGGTACCAAAAGTACCCAAAGAAAATCTGCTAGAATACTCAAATTGGAAAATTGGAAGCACTCTTCTTACATGCAACTGACGAGAAATTATTGTCCTACAATTGTACTGTATATTGCAGAAATCTAACCCTGGTCCCCAAAATGAAAGTATGTGCCACAAAAAGTCCAACTAAGTGAGATAATTATATTTAGTTTAGTTCAGGATCCCTGCTGTAATCAAACTTACTTTGACGTGTTGTGTTCTCTCGAGTAGTCGCTCATAAAGATCCCTTGTTTTTTGAAATTCTTCCTGACTGATTTCAAAATCAATGTAGGCCTTCCATAATACCTGAACAATAAAGCACAGAACAAAATAAATTTTGAGCTAAAGTATAGCTTTTTCGTGACTTTTTAATTAATATATTTTGGTGTTCATTTGGCAGTGCAAAAACTGTAGTTGGTTCAATTCAAGCAAACTTTCTAGCTTGCCGAGTGTGGACACACTCACAGACAACGTCACAAATATAATCTGAAAGAGTCAGGATCTATTTTATATTTGTGCGGCATAGAAGCAAATCAGTGTTAACTGATTAAATTAACCCATTGAGTGGCAGCACTCTCCACTTGACGAATAAAATCGTCTGGCGCTAGACAGAGTAGAACCCTCTGGCGTTAGACAGAGTAAAATACTAAAGTAGGGTGCATTACCACTTAAAGGTAAAAGAGACTGCACGGGCAGTTTGTTTGGTTAATCCATTGAGTGGCAGTACTCTGCACTTGACAAGTAAAATCGTCTGGCATTAGACAGAGTAAAATACTAAAGTAGGGTGCATTGTCACTTAAAGGTGCCCCAGTGCGCCCAACTTTTTTTTTACTTGTCTAATGCCACACGATTTTACTTGTCAACGGGGAAGCCTGTAGCTTAATGGGTTAACACTGTATTCTACTGTACATCAGTTATCTTGACCGTCTTCAACATGTCCCAAATACAAACGTGAAGCAGTACCTTTTAAAAAGTATATAAAGTTCGTAAAGCCATACCTCAGGCATATCCAACAAAGTTTGTCCCACGGCCAATTCAAAAATCGCTCGAGCTCTTTCAACATCTCCAAGAATCGTTTCCAATTCTGAATACTGAAAAATAAACGTATGTTTAAACTTTGCCACGGTTTCTATGAAAGTAAATTTTGTTCAAACCTGGCATACTAGCTTTTGAGCAAGTGTGCTTGTCATAGCATATTTGCCAAAGTACATGTACAAATCGTGTACTGTACACGGGTCAACAAAGAAAATTTGACAAAGTAATTTCAACACTTGGACATGGCTGTTGTGGACAGCGATATGTCGTTATTTATTTTTTTATTTAGCTTTTGCCAACTAGGCAGGGTCACCCCACACCTACCCTATAAACTTTCCCTTTGGGAGGAAACCGGAGTACCCCGGGAAAACCCACGACTTTCGGCAGAGCGTTGACTTTTACTCTTTTCCGCACGAGGACTGGGATCGTGTCGCATTGAGAAGTTCTCACTGAGGCTTGAACCTGCGGCCTCAGAGGTGAAAGGCAAGTGCGCTAACCACTTCGTCACCGAAGCTCCATACGTTATACTAGATATGGTAAAAGAACTAGTCACAGAGAATTTGCTGCATATACACTTGTGCATTTGGCAAATAAAACTTTCTACAGTCGAACCCCTATTAAGCGGACACCTTCGGGACCTCGCCGAAGTGTCCGCCTAAAAGGGGTGTCCGCTTAAAAGGGGTATGTAGAAAAACACAGCAGGAGGCAAAGGTGTGTAATTAGGTGTGTAATTTGAGTATCATCATGGCTGGCGGCTCACAGTCCTCCGTCCTCATTCGTCACTTCCTCAATAATCTTGGCTCTGATGTCTTCGTGCCAAGTTGATGTGTCACTGTCAATGTGCAATGTAAATTGATCTCAATTGTTATTTACTGTCGAATATTGAATATATTTTATCAGACAATCTGTCCGCTTAAGAGAGGTTGATTTGCCCATTGGGACCCCAGAAAGGTGTCCGCGTCCGTTAAAGAGGGGTGTCCACTTAATAGGGGTTATGATAATAGTTTTTTATTAAAGAAACCAAATGGGACCTGAGATATGTGTCCGCTTAAAAGAGGTGTTCGCTTAAGAGAGGTGTCCGCTTATAGGGGTTCGACTGTAGTTTGTAACCAGCTTTACAGAGGTAGCCTTTAAATAAAGAGCTACTGTAACAGTTTGTTAATAATATGTTTGACTGTGTTATAAATGACGTTTTTATCGTACCTTTATCCAGGTTGTACAATTTGACGAATTGAACTCCAAAAATTTCTCATACAGCTTTCGACATCTATCAAATTCTCGTAACTATAAATAAATAAATCAAACAATTATTGTTTTCTTTCTGCATTGGCTATCACTTTAGCCCAAGAAAAAAAGTCGGATATTTACCTGAAGTTCTAAGCCAATATATTCTCTAAACAATTTATCCTTTGGACATTTTCCAATAGCAACACCCTGTGAAATGAAAATATTATTTTATATTACTGAAGCAGAATATCAAGGATTATACAGTATGCTGTCGAAAAAAAAACCTGACAAAAAACTTCTATTTTTTACATTTTCATAAGAATTTTGCAGCCGACATGCCCACAATGATAGAATGTTGAAACACAATAATTCTCAGTAAAAAATAGGAGTGAATCTATACTGGGGTGTGCACCCGTAATAACAAGGGGCAGGGCTGCAAGGGGGGGTGGGGGGTGGTGCCAATTTCCATATCAAATCAAACAAAAATAAAGACAAAATGCATGATTGTGAAACTACAGACGTTGCTGTATAAAGTTAAAGTACAACTCAGTTATGAAGAGACGATATACTGTAAGTGAGTAAAGTGACAGAACTTTTTTGCATGCTTACAACTTTTGGTCCCATTTTTTCCACCCTTGCAGTACAGTTAAATGTTCATTGTAATCCTTACCAGTGCTTTCCTGGCATTCATTAATTCCAGCTGTCGAATTTCAAACTGTGCATACAGAAGCCAGATCTTGGCAAAAGTAAACTAAAGAAAAAATAGTATAATGTTAAATTGTTGTTGTGCACATTTATTCAGTTTTCCAAGTTCACCCTCAGGAAAAAACAATTTATTTTTAGACAGATCGAAAGCTTTGCAAAAAAAAAACAAATGTCATTGGGGCAGAGTATAGACTAGGTCCGACTCTTTGTCAGCATAACCAGCCAGTACTATGTGTTCCTATAGCCAGTGCTCTAAGAAGAGACTATCATTCCCATGAAAACATTCAAAATGGTAGGCTTGTTCCTGATCTTTAGGGGAAGAGTGCCTATCGTTAGCGCCGAGACAGGCCAATTACTTTTTTTGGCTGAGTCAGACCTCTATATAGTACTGTATATACTCTGTGTCATTGCTGTTTGAAATAAATAATGTCAACAGTACTGTACAGCAGCTAACCTTTTTATGAGGAATGATGTCCAAACACGCTTTGTATACTTGTCTTGTTCTTTCCATATCCTAAAATAAACAAATATTACAAAAAATATTTATCAATTATGAAATGAGTTTCCTAACTAAATTACAGTAAGTAATCACAGCAGATAGTGATTTATACTGATTACTGATTACTGTACCTTAGCAATTAGTTCTTCATACAAGGTATAATTTATCCATAGGTAAATATAACGTCTCCATAATCTTTTCTCCTAAATAATACCATTTGTAATAGATATTATTATTATTATGTATTATACTGGAAGGGGGCTTATATACTTAGGTTATGGAGGCTGAGCCCCTCTTGTTAAAATTCCCTTTTGGAATTTTTTTAGTTTGGGTATTAGCCATTAGGATGGAAAGGATAAGACAAGGATCAGAAATGAAGCGTCAGTGGATACCAATATGAATATACTGTATAACATTTACCTGTGACGGTGGTATGTTTGATATAGCACGTTCATACGTTTCTCTCACTGCATCTGGTGTTGATTCATTTTCCATCAGACGGATGTAGTCGAACCACGAATCATAGTTGTTTGGGTTTGCTTTGATTTCCTGAACAAAAAAATTGACTTTAATAATGAATATCCCTTGACCGTAAGGATGCAGGGTGAACTACAGTGCACTGTGGTTTGGTGAGTTACTGTAATGGGTTACCAAAAGAGTCGGTTGATTCAAGACCGGTGATGTCACAACTACACCTATAAATCTAAGCCGCATAACCCAAGCCGCAAACCAACCTAAGCAGCATACCAACCTAAGCAGCATAACCTAAGCAGCATACCAACCTAAGCAGCATAACCTAAGCCGCATAACCTAAGCCGCATAACCTAAGCCGCATAACCTAAGCCGCATAACCTAAGCCGCATAACCTAAGCCACATAACCTAAGCTGTATAACCTAAGCCGCATAACCTAAGCCGCATAACCTAAGCCGCATAACCTAAGCAGCATAACCTAAGCCGCATAACCTAAGCCGCATAACCTAAGCCGCATAACCTAAGCCGCATAACCTAAGCCGCATAACCTAAGCAACATAACCTAAGCAACATAACCTAAGCAGCATAACCTAAGCAGCATAACCTAAGCAGCATAACCTAAGCAGCATAACCTAAGCCGCATAACCTAAGCAGCATAACCTAAGCAGCATAACCTAAGCAACATAACCTAAGCAGCATAACCTAAGCAGCATAACCTAAGCAGCATAACCTAAGCAGCATAACCTAAGCAGCATAACCTAAGCAGCATAACCTAAGCAGCATAACCTAAGCAGCATAACCTAAGCAGCATAACCTAAGCCGCATAACCTAAGCAGCATAACCCAAGCAGCATAACCTAAGCCGTAATTGTTCATGTATAATAGTACATCAAGATGGGATTTTCATAATATTGAAACATGACATGAACAAAATCTGTTGACACAAGTACAGTAGAAGCAAATTGTGAAGAATTTTATCACTTATAAATGACATTGAATTACACCATAGATAATCTGGAAGACATTTGTCTTCTGTTTGTCTATTATTACACACAAATGAAATACTGTATGCATGCGCCACAATCCTAACTACAGTATATTGTACCTCTTCGTATTGAAACTTTCGTTTTGAAACAATGACATCTTCAATTCCACCTTTGTCGCCAAATCTCTTCTCATGTTGAGTGTAAAACGTGTAAAGCTCCTACAGAGAAATATAATATTCTCAATTAAAAAACTCAATAATTCACAAGGAAAAGACAAAGGAAATTGCTACCGTGTCGGTGGTTTTCATATGTGATAAAAAATGATGTTAACGTAAACTTTAGATTTTCTCAGCTTAGACAATGTTTATTTTTAAAGGTAGGGTACAGTCCGTAAGTAAACAAAGCCTTTGTTTACATTTCGGTATTCAAAATATTGAACTTTATTCGACAACTATATATTTATATTTTCATGCTTCTACAGTATAATAAATTATCAAAATACAACAATCAGGCTTTGCAAGAACATAAAATGAAATAAAAACCTAATTAAAGTGTTTATATCATGGCAGGAGACTCCTATGTGCGCATGCGCGGAGCGGACTGTACCCTATATTTAAAACTTATTTGCCAATTACCTAATAAAATGGCCTTATATGGGTTGTTTTTTAAGCCATTTAAAATACTTACAGTTCATGCTTTATTCTTTTATCAGATATAAAATGCTTGTGCAGATATAAAATGCTTTATATCTGATAAAGAACAAATATTTATGTACCGATAAATTCGAAACTTCAACATTCCCCCCCCCCCAGGCATATCCCAGGAATTTGACTTCAAATCTTCTCCAGGGAGTAGGGAATTTGGCGTTCTATGTCTTTCATGTGGTGGGGCATTTAGTTTCATGTGGTGAGGCAAGAAGTCTTAAAATTTTGTCCTGTGGCTGCAAAAGACAGAAAAGACTTTGCATTGGCTGCATTTGAAGGTGTGTACTACAAAATTGTGTAAAACTGTTACATTTCCATAAGGTTTCCAAACTTTTTAAGTGAATTTCGCTATCTTGCCGAAATATTTTGTACTTTTTGTATTTACTGTTTCATAATTTTTATTATGAAGGTGGGTATTTGAACGCTTAATTTTTTTGTTAAAGTGGCACATTTGAAGAGATGTTTTGCACAGGGGGTGGAGAATTTGATCAGTCAAATTTCAAAAAGTTCAAATTCCCGGGGTCGGCCCGAGAGGCATCGATACATTAGGTAACATAGAATTTAATTAATCATACTGTATGCAAGACTTAGTACACTCTGTGGTGATTAGGCATATAGATACAAATAGGTACAGTAAATTTCCTATCAAAATAATCTTGAGATTACTAACTTACCTGACATTGTTCTTTTGGCAGATGATCAAGAGCATATTTACAGATAACCCTCACTCTGTCATGCTAGAGAAAAAACAACTTAATTGATACATGGCATAACACAAAGCAACACAATGTAATGCAGCACAGCACATCAAAAGTCACAACAATCAACTGAAAAGCTCTCAGTTCTATACTGTTTACCTCTTTACATTGTTCCTCAAATCTGGCAAATGACACGAACAGTCTTTCATCCATGTTTTCCTCACCATAAAATTCCACCGCTCTCTCAAACACATCCCTTGACTTTACTAGAAATATTAAAGAGCACTTAAAGAAGACCAAAATTTTAAAAGGGTAAAGGAAAAAAAACTTGTCTAGTAATTACTCTGATAATTTGTCTGTGTATGAAAGTGGCAAATGGTCACTGATTATTGGTAAACACGACAATGCATACTGTAGTTCCTGAAGTGGTGAAGCACTGGTCAAAGAGTTTGAGAGTTGATGAGAGTTGCAACTCTGGTCAAACAAGTTTGATTGTTGACAAGAGTTGCAACTCTTGCTCATGTACAGTACGACTGCCGACTAATTCTCACACACTCTCATCATCTCTTATAATTTTTGAGCTGCTTCAAATTTTGATGAGAGTTGCTCGCTTACATTAACTGATCAGTAATATTGAATCAACTCTCGTCCTTTGTTCTATCTGGGCAGTCGGTTAAGCCGGTTTTCCATTAGGAGGAATTTTGCATGCACAGGGTTGAAGTTTTCTTGTCTTTTCTAATAGGTTCCACTTGAGAAATCATAAGACAAAAAAAATAATCCACCTAATGGAAAACCACCTTTACTGACAATCCATCTTCGTGCTTAAATATGGCAGTAGGAAAAACCAACAAGATTCTACCTAGGACTCTTACCAGTACAGCAATATTGTATCTTAGTAGGAGTTTTACAGTCAAATCCGGTGTTCCGTTGCGGGCAACATTGCAATATTGTCATGCAATATTGATCAGCTGATTGATCTAGCAAATTGCAACCGATGCAAACAAATTGCAATTTTTACATACAGTAACAGTACTAAACCGTCAACTGTAAAATTCAAAAGTTCATAAATAAATAAAGCTTGATAAGCTACTAGTACAAAATAAGTCGATCAAATGCTTAGCATTGACATTTGGGCACGACCTCTTGACAAGTTGGCAACATGTAAGAATTGCAATTTGTTCGCGTCGGTTGCAATTTGCTAGAGCAATCAGCCGATCAACATTGCAATATTGCGTGACAATATTGCAATGTTGCTGGCAACGGAACACAGGATTTGACTGTAATTGAGTTAACACCAACATGGATGATGTGTCTCTGGTATAAATGGGTCGTTCCGGATAAGATCCACATTCCCCCCACGGAGGATATTTCTGCCGTCCGGAGGGGGAGGGGAGACAAAATTGTTTCTGATAATAGTGAATGTATTAGGACATCCGAAGGGGGTAGGGGGGTTAACTTCCAATTTCCTCTGTGGGGAAGGTATGGATGTTTTCTGGAATGACCCAATTGAGCATGTTCATGCCTGTTGACACTTTTTACAGTAGGTACACTTTTGCACCACTTAATTAAATAGCACACTACTATATTGTACCTTACATGTTTTACCCAACCCACTATTCTCTCGGGTTCATTGTACCCATAAAATACAGCACAGACAGACAGATGCAGTCACATACCAATATTCCCATGTTTCTCCTCAAACTTAGCATATTTTATCCAGTTCTTGACCTCAGGATGAACATAAACAAATCTCTCGTAAATACTGCGAGCTCTCTCAAACTCCTTGAAGCGAAGTTCGAGATTAATGTACGAATGCCATGCTTGTTCTTCTGGCTCCCACTCCATCCATCTTTCAAACACTTGTCGAGCTCCAGCAATGTTTCCCAACATCTCCTCCATATATGTGTATTTGTACCTACATAACACAAACTAGTTTTATTACTGTACAATAGATACAGTCTCTGGTGTTAGTCTAGTACAACAGGACAGGGCTTAAAATAACAGCCGATCACCGATCAATGATCGGCAAGAAATTGCTTGTGATCAGTGGGAAAGCAGGGTTTCCAACATGAAAAAGCAGGGAAAGTCATGACTGCCGATCACCATGATCGGGAAGTTTGGGAACCTTATTTCAAGCCCTGACAGGAAGCCTACTAGAGTTTGATACTAGAGTAGGTAAACTAAACTAGAAAGCAGCAAAATGAGAGAAATTCGACTACCTGAAAAATACAAGTAAAAGTTCGACATTACCAACTTCCTGATGAAGGGCCTTTGCTCGAAACGTCAAAGTTTTACTTGTATTTTTAAGGTTAATTTAAATCCCTCTCAATAGGCAGCTTTCTGGTGTTATTGTCAGCACCTTGCTGGCATGCACCCTTCAAGGTAAACAAAACAAATTTTATATATCAGGGCTTGAAATAACGTTCTCAAAGTTCCCGATCATGCTGATCAACAGTCATGACTTTCCTTGCTTTTTTCATGTTGGAAACCCTGCTTTTCCGCCGATCGTAAGCAATTTCTTGCCGATCATTGATCGGCTGTTATTTCAAGCCCTGTATATACCAGATAGTTCTATTAATTGTAATCTGTCCTCTCTATACTGTAGGTCCAGTTAAGGCTAATTTCCACTCAGGAAAATTATCCGTGGATTGGATTGGAACGGACAAAACAATTTTTCTGTGTGTTAAAGTCTAATATTCCAACCCAGAGCTCACAAGACAAAGAAAAATTTTCTTGTCCGTTCCAATCCACAGCCTGAGTGGAAATTATCCTTAAGGGCCATCCCTTATTGGTCCAGAGAATTACTACAGGTACTGTGGACCTCAGAGATCTGGAGAAAACCAAGGGTACCATAGATAGAAACTGGTAGGACTCCTTTAACATGGGATTGAGATTCTCAATTTGAAATGAAATTATATTTTGCCTTCAACTTAATCTTACAATTTATTATCACCAGCAAAAAATACTCACCAGAATTGGTTACATCGAGGCAAAATGGTCACCGCTCTGTCCCAAATGTTCCGAGCATGGTTAACTTGACGATGCCTAGAAGATGCAAATCATAAGAATCATTTCTTTAAGAATAGATTTTATATTAAATAATTAAATGTTTTATAACTGATTATGGTATATTAAAGGACCATACAAGCAAGCTAGCTCACATACCAAAAGAATTATTTTACAAATGCCCGAAAAACGAGGGGAAGTGCCCCCCCCCTAATCTCTCCCTAGGATTGATGCTCTAGTATAGGACACTTACTTCATTTCCATTTCAGCATATTTCAACCATATTGGAATGCATCGATGGTCAACATCTATACCTCGTTCGTACACAGACCTTGACCTAAAATAGTTTGAGTATAGTAATATATCAGCACAGTGCATGGCTGTTACTACAGTTTATACAGTAGTTGTGTGTCTTACCTATCAATTTCATTCTGACTTTCTTCAAATTGTGCATACTTAATCCAGTTTGGCATTAACGAACGATTCTTTCGAATACTATCTTCAAATGCCTGAAAAACAAAACAGGTTGAAAAAAGCACTAATACACCAGGAAAGTACATCACCTTGGCTATAGAGCCTCGTCTTTATGTATGTGATAATTAGTTTATGTAACACTACACAAATTAGAACATATTTATTGTATCATACCTTTCTTTTTCGAAGTTTGTATTCTTTAAGTTCGTCTGGATCAGAGATTTTTTGTTTTGGTGGCTACAGTAGATAACGATTGTTAATTTAACCCATTGAGTGACAAAACTGTCCACTTGACGAGTAAAATCGTCTGGCGTTAGACAGAGGAAAATACTAAAGTATAGGGGCCATAAGGGTGCATTGCCACTTAAAGGGTTAAACTTGTTTGGCAATGGCAGAATAAAGAAGGGTGGGAATTGCTGAAAACTTAATCTAATCGAAAATTAATCCCTTACAGGCTGATTAAATCACAGTGCAAGTTACAATCAGAATGATATGATAAGGTTAACATTCAAAATTAGTCGTTAAAATTGTGCTACAAGCCTATATCACTTTGCCAATTAATTGGAGAGGAGTTGGCAATGAAAGTGATTACCTGTAGCATAATTTGTAATGTTAACATTATCATATATCAAATTCACATATATTAACTTTACCCATGAGTGGCAACACTCTCCCCTTGACAAGTAAAATTGTCCAGCATTAGAAAGAGTAAAATACTGAGGTCGGGCACTACAGGGCACATTGCCGCTTGAAGGGTTAAACTACCATATTTCAATTACTTACTGGAGCGACAACTTCCAATTGTCTTTCTTTAGCTTCTCGTAAAAGTTGTTCGGCAGTAATCTGTACAGGTGCTGCTGCTTTATTCTTTACCTAGATAATATTAAATAAATATTATTACCAGAGAATGTCTATAGTTTCAAATATTTACATATACAAGGACATCACACACAGTGATATATATCTCAGACTATAGTCATAAAGAACTACCTATTCTAATAGGTATTTGCAATTTACTAAAATATTTACATCATATATATAGTCGGCAACTAAGTTACAGGGCTAGTTAATTAGTTATTAATTTTAGTTATTATTATAACAGGGCTGCAAATAAATATTTGACTTGACAGGACATTTGTCTGATCACTTTTAATTTTGGTCGGACATAACTTCAATTTGGTCGGACATAACTTCAATTTGGTCGGACAAAAACCAACACCACTAAATTTGGTCGGACATATACACGTCACAAGAAATACAGTATATAAGTCACAAGACAAGTATGTATAGCCATTCCGGCGCAACGTTAAGTAAAATGCTAGAATGCCTCGTAAATTTTATTGCAAAATGCAAATTGAGTTAAGTTGCATCGGATTTTGGCACAGCAAAAAAATGTATAATGTGACAATTTTTTTTTGTCTGATCAAAATTACTTTTGCTCGGACATTTGTCAAATTTAGTCGGACATTGTCCGATGTCCGACAGTAATTTGCAGCCCTGTTATAATTAAAGGAGCAATTTGTAATTATTATTGATTAGTTTACGAGCAAAAGCGCTTCACTCGAAACTTCGAAGCTCTCCTTGTATTTTTCAGGTAGTTGTGTCTCTACCAACCGAAGTTTTGTTATTTATTGGGCCATATTGGTACTACCTACACTACCTTAGCGATTCATACACCGCGTGGAAAGCCGAAGTGTAGTTCAAGATTATATCATTCAAATAAAGGCATTTATATCAATTGATGCAAGAAACCAGATGGTTTTAGAACAAAATTAGTGTTGTCTGCCTTATGTTTAACCCTCGTATGGAATTTTTACAAGATTCTCCGAACATATTAAACAAGACAAAATACAAATATTCACATATACATTTTAACTGCCATTCCTCGAACAAAATGAATAACTTCGCTTACCTTCGCCACCTTGGGCACTCTCTGACTCTGTTTTGCTGCTGACTCGGCCATTATGATGAACTTTTAACCAAGAAAAACAAAACTTTCACAGAGTTATTTTTTCTAAAAGTTTCGAAGAAGAAACGTCCATCTTTGAACACGAAGTACTACCTGACAGCGGAAAGCCGGAAATGTCGTGTAAGACAAAGTATGTTGTTGAACAAGCTCAATGTTCACGTGACAATTGACCAATCACGGGTCTTCAATAGCATCACGTGCCAGTCTAAAATTATGAAAGCGCGGGAAACTTGTCTTCGCGAAATTCATTTGTTTACGACAAGTCGCGAGGTTACTAATATATAGTTTTTTTTTCTTTAATTAGGTCAAATTATCTTGAAACATACGTGAAATTGAATTTTTTATGCAAACTTGTTTTTAAAAACAAAGTTTAATAACTTTTTTGTTAGTTATTTAAGCAAATTTGCCACCGATGTGTGATATTTGTTATATCGCTCTATTTATACTATAATTATTATACTATAATTTAAATACATACAGTAGGTGATTATTGAAAATTCTCCACGCTGATTGGTTGCCGTTGAGGTGATTATAAGTTATAACGCGTAATCACCTAAGGGCCATTCCATTTAATATCCACCCCCCCCCCCCTACGGATGAGGTCCGTAAAATTTTAACCCCTAAGAAAAAAAGATCAAAGTGCCGACACAAAACACCCCTCAGAAATTTGTAAATTTTCCCCTTACCCCTCAGAAAAATCGCAGAGATCAAAGGATGCCGACATGCTTAACCCCTCAGAAACGACTTTTTGAGTCACCCTTCAGAAAAACTCATCCGTAGAGAGGGGTGTGGACATTAAATGGAATGGCCCTAAGCGATTTTCAAAATGGCGGCCGAAGCCGTTTTGTCAATTAAATGACGAAGAAATGTGTACATTATTTTAATTTTTTTCTCCAAATAATCACCTATGAAAGTATACTAAAATAATTATTTACCTCAGTCTCTGTGACTTCGTCTCGGTTTCTATTCACCGACAATCATCTCGCCTTCGGCGAATATTTGTTAATTACACACGTAAAAACGCACAAGTTGTTACAAGTCTGCAAACAAGTTATTACAAATCTGTTCACAAGCTGTCAACAAGTTGTCTTCGCACTGCTTGTTCCCAATTGGCAGTTGTTGTAACAAGTCTGGAACAAGCTGTTAACAACTTGTAACAAGCTTGATGGCATTAAATATCAGACTTGTCACAAGGTTGTTCTAATAAGTCTGATACAGTCATGATAAACAAGAATGTTACAAGGTTGACGACACAAGGTTGTAACAATACTGCTATATCATGATTGTACCGGACTTGTTGGAAAAACCTTGTAACAAGCCTGATAATATCAACAAGGTTGTTACAAATTGTTAACAGCCTGTTCCAAACTTGTTGACAACTTGTGACCAGCAGTGCGAAAACAACTTGTTGACGGCTTGTTGACAAAGACACAACTTGTCAACAAGATGTGTTCGCAACGGGCTTGTAGCAAGCTTGGGTAAGCTTGTCAACAAGTTGTAACAATGCGGTTATTTTATCAAGTTGCTAGAAGATTGTCACTCACAACTTGTTGACAAATTGTTGAATTGCAGGACGATAACAAGTTGTTGGAACAACTTGTAACAAGTCTGTTGAGCTCAACAAACTTGTAGCAAGTTGCCAACAAGCCGTTGACAACTTGTCAAAAAGCTGGGAACAACCAGTGCGAACAAATCTTGTTGACAAGTTGTTGGAACAGCATTGCTACAGGTCTGCTACAGGTTTGTTACAACTTGTGCGTTTTTACGCGTGTGTAAGGGTGGGAAGGGGGGGGGGGGG